TTAGTTGGTGTGGAGGCACAAGTCACCAAAGATTGAGGGTCTGTGCCCTCCTCCCCAACTGCATGGTGACCAGACCCAGCCGTGTCCTGTCTCAGAGCCGCTCCTATACAGGGCCAGTCCCAGGTGCACCTTTGAGATAACAATACTGTCTCCTAAAACAAACAGCCATTGTTTTCATACAAAGACCTTCAATGTTTCCTCCAACAACAAAAGGCTACAGCCATCCTGCCAAGAAGACAAAGCGCTGGAAGCCCTTTCATAAATATCAGGATGGTGGGAGGGGAGGAGTGTAGGCAAGAAGATCATTCTCCAGCATTTTCTATGTAGAGGAATAGGACAAAATCCACCCATCAGGGACTGTTCTGAATTACTGATCGTTCCTGAACTATTCATAATGACAATAATAACGGTTTCCTAATCTGTGAAATGGAAGTAATATCTATTCCTTACAGGATTGTTGTCAAGACCAAATGAGATAATAGGCGTAAAAGCTCTTTGTAAGACTTAAAAGGCTGCCCAACTGATAGGGTTATTGTGGGAAGACTGATGTTTCACCCACACTGCCTGCATAAAAAAGATAGCTCTATTTTAGCTGATGAAACTCCTAATAGCTCTGGTATCTAGATAAAGCATATGGTAAAAGGAATGTGGTCAGTATGGCTGCCCACCATAGTTTATGAGGGCCTGTCCCAGGCCAAAGTAGGCTATTTTTCCTAGCCCCAGGAACCCAAATCCTGGAAATGAGCCTCCTGGTGGTTGGTCCCTCATCTAGGGTCTAATGTGCCAAACTTCACCCCCCATCCCCTCTCTTGTCCCTCTTAAAACATGCCTTCCTTAAACAATTTACACAAAAGTAGATACACATCATAAATTAAAGCCTGAGAAAACTGTCCATCCTCACTGATAATGAAAGGCAAATTAAGGCAAATTGTACCATGTTATGCCTACTTAATAACAAAAATTACAAATGAGAATATCCAATGTTGGTGAGATTGTGACAAAATTGGTCTGATCTCAGAGTACTAGTGGCATCATAAATTTGTATGATCCCTTACAAAGGCAAAAATAACACCACATAGCAAGTATTAAGAAGGTATTCCTATCTTTTGGCCTAGTAATCTCCCTCCCTGGAAATTCCAAAGGAAATAATTTAACAAAAATGGCAAAAAGTATCAAGTATACATACATTTACCTATAGTTGGCAAATACTGATACAACAAGAGAAGTATTATAGTTAATTGTGATGTGACTGTAGTCATTGAAATGAAAATATAAAAACTGCTTACGAACATGAAGAAGTATTTAAGATACAATTGTAAGTGAAGGGAACCATATGATACAACTAGGTAAAATATGTAAGTATGTGGATAAGGACTGGTGATAAGTGACAATATCTATGGGGTTGTGGTGGTAAATTATAGGTGACCTATATTTCAAATGTTCTTTAATGTTTTTATATCATTTTTAAAATACAACAATAAAAAGAAAGAAAAATAACCAGCTGGTAGAATTCTCTCAAAATTATGCTTCTCCTAAGGTAGGATAGGTAGTTATCCTTGCTAAGATGTTGATGGGTGTTAATAAATTAATGTGTAACACATTGACAGGCAGAAAGTCCGTAGCAGATTCTAGTTAAAAGTCTCAATAACTGAATCAAGCCAACAGTCACTGGATTGGACCCCTGCTTCTGCCACTTACTTGCTGTATGGCCCTGGGCAAGCTATTTCACATATCTAAACCTTTCTGGATTTATAAAATGGGAGTGATGACAGAACCAATATCCTAGAATCACTGTGAGTAGTCAACAAGATAATGTATATAGCGTAGTGCTTTCATTCAGTAAAAGGTTGGTGTGTGTGCTGTTAATAACAACAAGGATGTGGTTGTAGTGATAAACTGAGGTCTTCTGGAGAAAATGCCTTAACTTAAATGGTGCTATTCAAATGATATTAGCCCTATATGCCTATCTGTGAAGCCAACCACAAACCAAATAGATCTTACTTTTTTAGAGCAGGTTTAGGTTTAAAGCAAAACTGAGTGGAAGATACAGAGATTTCCCATATACCTTTGCCTCCACATATGGACAGACTCCCCCATTATCAAAATCATCCATCAGAGTGGTACATTTATTACAATCGATGACTCTACATTGACACATCATTATTCAAAAAAAAATTTTTTTCAACGTTTATTTATTTTTTGGGACAGAGAGAGACAGAGCATGAACGGGGGAGGGGCAGAGAGAGAGGGAGACACAGAATCGAAAACAGGCTCCAGGCTCCGAGCCATCAGCCCAGAGCCTGACGCGGGGCTCGAACTCCCGGAGCGCGAGATCGTGACCTGGCTGAAGTCGGACGCTTAACCGACTGCGCCACCCAGGCGCCCCGACACGTCATTATTCAAAGTCCATACTTTACATCAGCGTTCACTCTTGGTGTTGTATATTATATGGGTTTGGACAAATGTATAATGACAGGTATCTATTATAATATCATCATACAGAGTAGTTTCACTGCCTCAAAAATTCTCTGCACCCCACCTACTCATCTCTCTCACCTCTCGGATCCCTGGAAACCACTGATCCTTTTACTATCTCCAAAGCTTTACCTTTCTCAGAACGTCATACAGTTAGAATCATACAATAAGTAGCCTTTTCAGATTTGCTTCTTTCTTGAGAGGTATTTTTTTTATAACCACTCTAGAGGACCAAGTGAGTATATTGAAATTCCACTAGATGACACAAAGATAATTACTATCAGTGATTGGGTTAGATTATTTATATATGTTATCTCCATAAGATAAATAGTATTATCCTTGTTCTAGCAACAAGAAAGTGCCCAAAGTTATGAAACCAGTCAGTGCCAGAGCTGGTATTTGAATCCAGTTTGTCTGTCTCCAACCTTCATATCTTTCCATTATGCCACAGTATTGACCCTAATACCAAATAGGGGTCCTGGAACATCTGAATCCATAAGAACTGACAGGGAGAAGCACACTGATAAAGGTGGATTTCCAAACACATGTCATTGAAGCTCTTGGAAGACAGCATCCTAATTGAACCACACAATAGCCACCCTGAAATAGACCTGCCTAGCTGTAGAATGGGTTGCCCCATGAAATAGTGAAATCCCCATGGATATTTCCCAGGATGGGGCTAGTTGGCCACCTGACAGAGCACCACAGGAGGAATCATAGAGAAGGGATTTCTGTGTCCTTGAACTGGACAACCTCTAAATCTGGCTGCTCAGGGACTCTGCACTTATTGGACTGAGTTTATGACTCAGACTTTGGCAAGTCACAGACCATTTAGCATTCACCAGTGCATTAAAATGCCCCTAAATATTCTCAGTGGGCTTCCAGAAACCCAACTTCAACCCGCTTCGGTTCCATACACAGGAGCCAGAAATGGTTCACTATAACTCTGGGGAGCTAGGAACCTCCCAATCTTGCTCCAGAGGCTAATCTGGAAATAGAGACATTTATATAGAAAGGCTCTCCCTGTGGGTTTCAGCTGCTATCATGGGATCTGAAAAAGGAGAGGACACTCCTTCCTAGCAGATGGTTAAGACAAAAAATCAATATGTCAACAAATGAATTTCTGATGGTCACTTGCTGAAAGGAATCAAATGGCCCCCACAGAATGTACACTTGGTCAACTGTTGTTTCCCGCACACACTGTCTCCTTTCACTCTGTGCTGATGACCCATGGTAAACACTCAGAACTGCCCCTTCTATTCCCACAAAGTCCCAACAGAGTGCAAGCAGAGAAAGTGCGTTCTGCTCAGTCTTCCTACAGGGCTCACATAAATGTAGTTGGCTCTAAGATGATGACATTTTCCATCTACACTTATGTTTTCAGACACTTTCAAAAGATTCGTGCATCCTAAAAAGAACAGAGCTTTCTGTGGGGTATAAGGTCATGCAATAATGGAGGCACCTTAGTTGTAGGGTCCAAACTTCAGTTTAATTAACACACACGTACACACACAACTCCACGAAACTAGCTAAAATTCACTTGTGCAAGTTTGGGAAGAAGCCATTGGCTACGTACAAAGCATCCTATCTATAGGCCTTATACCATCTATTTGGTGCACCTTTGTTATTATCTATAATTATTTGACTCTATCCTTTCATGGCTCGGTGTTTCATCCTTTCACTGGGTTCTTTCAACTTAGATACCAAACCGTCCCAGTTTGGGAAGTTCCCAGAACTTCAGATAAGCTTGCTTCAATGTCTGTGGCATGGTGGTCTCTCACATGGGAGAATCTTAGCTGTACTGACCACCATACCACTTGCATCTTTAACCCTTTTATCAGGAATCTGAGCTCCAAGGCCTGCTGAAACTTTTTCCTTCTGCCTCTAAAGAAACGGGATCAGACATAGCATAATAACCATGTAAAACCCACCAAACTATTTTTGTTCCAAATAGAAAGGAACCATTTTCCACATTTTACAGAAGGGTAAAAACTTCCACTTTCCAACAGAACATGGTGGCGGCTGAACTGGTGCCAGGAACTTGAATTTAAAAACTGTATTCCCCTCATAATGCTTGACAAAACAACTTTAATAGCTTTCTGACAATCTGTCTTCTTCTCCTGAACTCAGTGACAAAAATTTCTTTTAAATTTTATTTTTATTTATTTTGAGAGTGAGAGGAGCATGAGCAAGAGAGGGACACAGAGAGAGAGAGAGAGAGAGAGAGAGAGAGAGAGAGAGAGAGAGAAAAGAATCCCAAGCAGGCTCTGCACTGTCAGGGCAGAGCTCGTGAACCAGGAGATCATGACCTGAGCCAGAGTCAGACACTTAAATGACTGAGCCTCCCAGATGCCCTGACAAATTCTTTTTAATAAAAATATCTTTAACTGAAAAGGTAACCAATCCCAGGACACGACCTGCTCACACACAGATGCCACCTCCACAGGTGTTGCTGCGGAAGTGTGTACACAGATGTTGTATGCATAGATGCTTCTCACAGAGACACAGAGACAAATGTTACTCACAGAGACAGATGTCCACCAGGAATACGATGTATACTAAAAGCTCCCGCAGGGTGGTCTTGACATACAGCTCCCGGTTTTCAGCTGTGTTCTCAGTCAGGGTTGTTCCCCAAAGTCCTAAGGGACATAGGAGAGACGTCTAGGATCCATAAGAGCAGGGTTCCTCCCAGTTGCCCGGCCCATCAGTCCCTGGACTTTACTCCCATTTCTACTCTGGCCCTCTCCTCACACATCACCTTATTATTATCTTCCTGAATCTGGCTACCCTAATCACACGCAAGCCTGCCCTCCTTCATCAAACACCCTGAGGTAGATAGTGGAAAAGATACTGGGTAGAAGAGAATGAAGACCTGGAAAGGAGGTCCTTGTTTCAGGTGGGGCCATCTAGGGTATCATCACAAATATGCCCTCCCTCAAGCTAACTCCCACATACCTTTCTGGGTCCCCAGAGATGGAGATGACTGCACCAGGCTCTCTCTCTGAGAGACCATGAGACTGGCCTCTGTGTTCTGGGGACATCGGCTCTAAGAGACAATTCATAAAGCCCAAAGAGATATTGACATCCCACCTCTTCTTCAGATCACATCTCCCCCCAAAGCTTTTGGGACCCCTCTTCTAACTCCAGTATCCTGAAAGAACCCTCCTCCCACCAGGTACCTCTGATGCCACGGCAGATCTGGAAGCAGCAGTTGGACACCAGGGTCCTGTACGCCTTCTTTTGGGGTCCATCTTCAGGCTTTTTGGGCTGGGATTCAGGGGGCATCACACTGGAGATGGTGCAGATCCTCAGTGTCCCATGTGGGGACCGGGGACCACTGTAGGCAGGGTTGTCCCAGGCTCCTCTCCCCATATTTTGGAGCTCTTGCCCCTTGGGACTTCCCATAGCATTCGTGGGGAATGAGGTAGGGGACCTGGCACGTCAGATACCCACTGTCACCTGAAGAAAGAGGGAGCAAAGCACAGTCCAGTCTAGTTAGCAGAAGGCAAAGGAAAGAGAGGGTGAGAACAGCTGGTCTCAGAAAGACTCTGCTTCCTGCCTTTTGTAGGGAGAATCTATACTAGCTGTGGGGAGGGAACAGACAAAAGGGGGTGGAGAATGGCCATCAGTCCTGTCTGGGGCTCTCTCTTCCTCTACCTTGGAGAAAGGGGGGTAGGAGGGACCTGAAGGCAGGAGTTTGGCAGGAGAAAGAGAAGACTGGGAGGGAGGTGTGGAGATGGGGTGGAAGGAAGGAGGAGTGAGAGAGGTGTGCTGGGAGGAGAGGAGGGCTGTTTATAGATGGGCCTGGTGGCTGATGGGGGTGGGGGGAGGGTCCCAGTCTGAAAGAAGAGGGGATGAAAGAGCAGTGGGAGGAGCTGGCAAAAGAGGATGCCTGGCAGACTCCATTGTGGGTCTGGGCTAATTTCCACTAAAAGCTCCTGAAAGGGCCGACATGGATTGGGCTGGGGACCAAGGCCAGGGACAGGAGACTGGAAAGTGCTGCCCCCCTTCCAGGTTCATTCAATGGTGTCTGAGGCCCCTTTAATGTCTCACCTTGGGCTGTCCCCTGTGGTGGCCCTACAGCTGGGGAAAGGAAAGAGGCAGGAGGAGCCCCTGTTTTAGACACTTAAGGGGCAGGGTCCTGACTGCTGATGAGGTCGTGATGGTGGGGGGCACTATGGAGGTCCAGACTCTCTATATCCTTTCTCTGAGGTCTGCCCTCCTATGGCTTATGAGAGAGCTACACTGGCAGAAAAGTGTTCCTCAAAGGTATGAAGCTCAGCCTAGGGAAGAGGCTAAGCCCTGATTGGGAGAATGTATCAGAGAACAAAGGGCAAGGACAGTGTGATTTGGAACTCCTTAAGAAGAGTAGATATCTGGACTCAGCTCAGCTGACAACTTTATCTTATGACTCTGCTAGGTACTGGACCGAGGGCTGTAAACATGAGCACATAATGGAACTATGAGAATTATCAGAACTGGTGTGCTTTTTAAAATTTTTTTTCATGTTTATTTATTTTTGAGAGAGAGAGACAGAGCACCAATGGGGAAGGGTCAGAGAGAGAGAGGGAGACAGAGAATCCAAAGCAGGCTCCAGGCTCTGAGCTGTCAGCACAGAGCCCGATCTGGGGCTTGAACTCACAAGACATGAGATGGTGACCTGAATCAAAGTCAGATGCTTAACCATCAAAGTCTGAGCTACCCAGGCACCCCAGAACTGGTCTGCTTTCTTCCATCTCAGATGTCTGAATTAAAACCCTGGCATGTGCTCCCAGGTACATCTCTGCCTCTGCTCTGCTCCAACCTCTGATCACTTGCCTGGGGCTCCCTTACAAGCATGTGTCCAGAATGGCACTGGCCCCACAGGTGCAGGGGTTATATCCTCCTTGATGGTTGGGGTGGGGGCTGCTCTCTCTCTAACTGCTGGCTCCCCATCTGGGCCACCCTATTGCTCACTCGACTGAAGTCCACCTCACTGCTCAGGAAAACACCAATCTGGTGGAAGTCACCAGTCTTAAGTGTCCCCATAAAGAGATCCTGATTCCTGGGGCGCCTGGGTGGCTCAGTTGGTTAACCGGCGACTTCGGCTCAGGTCATGATCTCACGGTCCATGAGTTCGAGCCCCGCGTCGGGCTCTGTGCTGACAGCTCAGAGCCTGGAGCCTGTTTCAGATTCTGCATCTCCCTCTCTCTGACCCTCCCCCGTTCATGCTCTGTCTCTCCCTGTCTCAAAAATAAATAAAATGTTAAAAAAATTTAAAAAAAAAAAAAAAAAAAAAGAGATCCTGATTCCAGACAACCCAAGGCTGGCCTCAGGTCCTTGATAAATAAGTGTACTCCAACACCTGAGAAAGGGTTGAAAAAACAGCAGCTATCTTACCCCTGGGTCTGCAGCATGGATCTCCTGTCCCAGGCCCAGATACTTTTAGGGAATTAACTCTGTCTGGGCTGGAGTTATGGCTTCTCTGTGAGCTTCCCTAGAAGGAAGAGTTTCATCTCTACATTTTATTGGTTAATGAGACATAGTCTAAGGTGCTTGTTTTCTTTGGGAAGACAAAAGACAAGGAAGCGTTCCAGTTTTGACCAATTTGTGCGAAATCTGCTGATAGTGAAGGAACAGGAACTGATGCTTCTCACACCCAAGCTTTTCAAACAATTGCAAAAGGACCCCTGGCTTGCAAAACTGAACATTAGCACAGAGGTGATAAATAGGAAGCTAGCAGTGTAGTTCAAAGAAATGATGAGAGGAAGAGGAGATGGTTTCTGACTCCTTGGGGGTAATTTTGTATTCTGAGAGAGGCCTGTGATCAACAAGGGTTCAGATGGACTCAAGGAGGTTCGTTATGTGACGGGTCCCACACCCTTGTGACCAGAGCTGGACTGCTTTATTCACAGTCACCCAACCTAGGAAACACTGCTTTTCCCTGCTCAGTCTCCTCTCCCCATGTGTGTGGATCAACCCATAATACCCCTCAGGAGTACAGGTTATGCAACACAGCTTGAGAAATTTTCTCTAAAGGTGCTGTGCATTCCTAGGGTGTTTAGTCTTGCTCAAGAAGGTCATAAACATATTAATCAAGTGGGATCTCCTGATACTTTTGTGTCCAGCAGTTCTTAATGTCTTCAAGCTTCTAAGGCACTTGGCTTTTCCTGAGTGGCCAGATCCAGTCAATAAGGGCAACCAATATCAGAGTCCTGTGACTCAGGCTGCTTCTTAGCAGTTTAGCAAAACCCAACAGGCTTGACCTTGAAACTCAAACTGCCAGGTTGAACTCTTGGCTCAGCAGCTTACTAAGTGTATGGTTCTGGGAAAGTCCCTTTTGAGACTTAGTTTATGTATCTGCAGAGCGTTCATACTAAACCCTGCTCTGCTGAACTTGAGGACTGTTTTAAGATTAAAACAGTAGATACAGAAACCTTTATGAACTGTGTGCTATAAAGCACAAAACAAATTTAGTTATCTTGCCATAGCATCCATCCTTGTGCCCAGCACAAGAAATTCATGTTTAAGGAAGATACCTTCAGTCAGGACTCTGTTGTCATTATCTCTGAGAGACAAGGGTCTCAGAACTCTCCATATCAACACCCATTCCATTCCAACTGACACCAACAGAGAGGAATGATGGCCTTTCACTTGGAGAGTGTTACAACAGTAGTCAGGAATGAGAGCAGCTCTTAGCAATTTTTGAACACATGGCAAGCCTGGTTGTCCATCAGAACCCAAAATACCTCTTCAGCATGATGCCTCTTAGCCCACTTGGTGAATCGATCCCATTGCTTCACTGGGATACACTTTGTGGTTGCATACTATCCTATTGCACACACCAGCAAAAGGATTACACCATTTCTGCCATGAGTACACTCCTTTTTATGCCATGCCCATCCTAGCCAGGCTCTTCAGTGCCACTCAGATCCACTGGGTCCTGACAAAAAGCCCAGAGACAGCAAAGGCCATAGGAAGGAAACCTGTGACCCATCTTCTTATAAGTTCTCCATGTAAATTCCCCCAGGATAAGTCACCTTTCATATTTGAAAGAAGGAGCCCTGGCATGACTCATAGTCCAGATTCTACAGAGAGAAGCAAGCTTCAAACCACCTTCTGTGTGAAAATAAACATAGTGACCCTTGACTCTTCCCACCTCAATGAACATAAATAATAGAGCTCCATAAGTAACAGTGGCTCACCGTGGCAATGATTCTCAATGGAGGACACGGAAGATCACTTTTTTATAAGAGAACCCTGCATTTAAGAGCTTACCCTTCACCAATATGCCACTAATCATCTGCATGGCACAAATATTGAAATTTGAGGAGCTGAAGTTTTCAGCAATAAACACAGTGGACCAAGCAAACAGACAGGAGTAGGCTAATCCCAAGGGAGTCCTCCCCTCCCTGTTTTTGTGCAATAAACACCACAGCACTGCAACATAAGCCACAGCTTTTCAATACCTTAGAACAGACAAGCCAGATCCATTGGAAGGTTCAGGTGTATGAAGTCCTGTTGCAGCTGTTCCAGCCCAGAAAGCCAAGAAACTAGCATTTTGTTGTATTTCATCAGGGACCTCACAGGGGGAGGCTGGAGGAGACCCGCGTCCCCTCATCACAATGACCCATTTCAGTCTCTTCCTTCCTTCCCATTACCTCCTGGATTTAACATGTCCTGCTGGAATACATTTTGCATCTTCCATCCCTCCAAAGAGAACCTTTTTGGAATGAGCCCTTCAACTTTCCTCCCATATCTAGAGAGCCCTCCTGGATATCTATCCCCATTTGTCTATGCCTTCTGTAGAAGATTGGACAGGTAGATGGAACCAACCAAACCCAGGTGGTGGGAGATGATGCCATCAACAAAAATAAGGAAGTCAGTCTTCAGTTGTCTGGAAACTTGGGTCTGAGGCCGTGATCTTACCCCTTTGCATGAGTGTAGTCTAGATGCAGATGTTCACATGGTCCTGAAGTGATCCATCAGCATTATCCCTTCTAGGAAGAGCTCCAGCTGTGGCAGGCAGGGTTCTGTGTGGGATGGTGAGCACTAGCCAGGCCTCCTGCTAGACAGGGTGGAGTCGGGAGGAAAGAGCTCCATGTGAGCCGGAGACACTAGGCTAGAAAGAAAGGTAGGAGGTGGAGGGGAAAGAAAGGCATGAGAGAGGAAGTGGATTATGGGGAAGAGGACCTGAGAGGGCACAGTTCTCTCCTTCAGAGCTACTCACTAAATTTCACAGGAGGCTTGGTTGACTGAAAGTCCTGAGGTTGTGAAGATGGAAGACTGGGAACGAGGGCAGATCTCCCAGATGCTCACTCTTCCAGCATCATTTCAGGGTCTCAGGGCAATCACCCTACATACCTCCTTGTCCCTGCCTCTGAGGGCCCCATCACAGGAGACACACATTTGTCCATCCTGAGTCC